TCCTCCGGCAACCCTCTTCGTTTCCGGCAACCCTCTTCTCCGGCTCGTATTTTCCGGGGAGAAGTATGTATTTATATTTTTACTGGGGTTGTTCATGGAGTTTGCTTGCAGGATGGCAGCCTCTTGTGATTGTGAATTGTGATCCGGCGGCAGTACTCCATTTCTAGACGTCAGTGGCGGTGAGTATATGCATACGTTGTGTGTATATATGTATATGCTCAAAGTATGAATAGTAATTAAATTACAATAATTTTGTTTATAGAGAATAGAAGATAGACACCATTGGAGACGAAATGTAAATGTAATCGGCTGTGTGTCCACGTCAACTTCACAGGCCGTCTAAATATACCACGTGTCCATTATTATAGACTTCAATCCATTTTCCCATTAAAGATGCTCTAAGATACTTGGTTGTGAGAATTTGTAGGAAACAATCGGATATCATTAATGTGATGCAAAAATATCATCTTTACCCTTAATGAGAGCAAGCCGATATATTAAAATAATTCAAGATCGGATGGCTACAATTCATTCTCATTTCTCTCCTAAGATGATGTTCTCACATGATCCCTATTCTATATATACATATATATATATATATATATATATATATATATATATATATATGTATGTATATATATATATATATAGGTTCAAGTGAGAAAGACATCTTACTATCTTAGGAGAGAAATGAGAATGAATTATAGCCATTAATTTGATGTCATTAATTAAACCATACTCGTTCCTTTCTATAACTGCTTGCCTAACTTTTAGCTACTGTAATAAATTTAGACTTTACCATTTATGACCATTCTTTCCACTATTCATTATTTTCATTTAATTTTCTTTGTCAAATTTAAATGCTCCAGAGTTTCTAAAAAAAAGGATGACACCCATCTTTAAGACCCCCAACACCGACCGGACGGCACGATGAGAGGATGTAAATTGGACTATAATCACAATCTGACAGATAGAGAGTGAGGCTCCGTCTCTGGTACTTGCAGAGGCCCTATGCATTTTTAGCATAGTAACCTCTTATCGCAGTTGCCGGGATTCGAACCCGGGACCGAACCCTTGTGGCACTCCCTCGCTCGAGAGTTTCTACAGATGTCTATCAACTCATCATTAACTTGCATCTTCATTTTTCTCAAGATGTAAATATTCTACCATGGATTGCAATATTATTGTCTCAATTCCACACAATTATATTCACGATTACTTATTGTACCAGGTTCAATTATTTGTTCAAAACTCAAAAGTATTGCTTTTTATAATAAAACTTCTACTTTAATGCATAAACACCTATTGATTATGTTGCACTTTTAAATAGACCTATTTAGTTCTTTGTTGTACAAGTCATTAGAATAGGCAGTAAACATTATAAAATAGTGCACTTTATAAAAGACAACATACATTTCAACTAATGCGGTTAATGTAATAAAATGTGCATGTTATTGTAATAAAAAAAAAAAGCGCGAGTTACTAAAAACATCAACATTACCAAGGTGCACACTAATACTATAAAAAGTGCACAAAGGACTCACTTAATTGGAACATTAAAAAACAATTATTGATCAACTACATAAATACTAAAAGTGCAAAAGGATTGAAATAAAGTTGGTTAATAAATTAATCACAAAAATTAAATCTTCATAAATAGATATTTTACATTGCACAAACGCATGAAAAAAGTGCATATTAAAATAAAATAATGTGCATAAATCATTATATGATACAATGCATTAGTTTATTATTGGTGCATACACGATATATAATACACAATATTAATATTTATACATCAATGCATTTGTTATATCAGTACCATGCACTCCTTATATAACTGTAATGCACTATGTTTTACTAACAGAGTCTGCACATCCCAAATTCCCAACTTTGTGTATTGCGCATTTTCACATTACAAATTGATAAATTGTGCATGCACTTTGGTACAAATTGATTGCACTTTTACTCATTTCTAATGGAAAGAACCCTCATTTGAATTTTCAAACATACATAAAATTTGTAATTTAAAAATGGAATATGAAATATCATTTAATGGCCACATTCGTAGAGTTTAAATTTATAAAAAATTATATATGTGAAAATTTATCTATAGCAATTAATGGTCCTAATAATTAGATAGTGAGTTACTTCCTAAATAATAGGAAAGTTCGGAAATGTACACAACGTGAAAATGGTTTTACCTATGGTCTCTGACAACTTTACCCTTGCAATTAATAAACATTAGACTTTCCTTCAAGATCAATTGAAATTGACCGAAAATTGAGGCCAATGTATCGTAGTCATGTTATTTGGTGTCCACACGATTAATCATATCAACGGTTACATTTCATTCTTATTTCAATGAGTCTCAAGAGACTCATTTCTCACAGAAACCAATCTCTATATATAGAGAGAGAGGACTGCTCAGGTCCAGCCGGAGGGACGGGAGCAACCGTCCGAACCGTCCGAACTTTACTGTTTGGGGCGGTTCCCGGTGGAATTTTTCGATGAAATTTTTTGATCATGTTCCTCATCAAGTCTAGTTTGTCCATACTAAATTTCAGCCCAAAATTCAACCGGAAAGGCAGTCAAATAAATTCTTGAAACTTACTGCACTTTATATATGCGCAGAATGTGCAGTAAGCTTCAAGAATTTATTTGACTGCATTCCCGGTCGAATTTTGAGCTGAAATTTGGTATGGACAAATTAGACTTGATGAGGAACATGCTAAAAAAAATCATCGAAAAATTCCATCGGGAACCGCCCCAAAGAGTGAAGTTCGGACGGCTGCTCCCGTCCCTCCGGATGGACCTGAGCATTTCTATATATATATATATATATATATATATATATATATATATATATATATATATATATATAGGGTAGTGTTCTCCTAAGGTAGGCCTAAAATTTCAAGTTTTAGGCCTCTTTTATTTGAGGTGCTTCTGGGTCGATTTTGTTGATGAAATTTTGTGAGCATGTTCTCAATAAAGGGTAGACTATGCCTACCAAATTTCATTTAAAAATTTGATCCACAAGTCAGATAAATAAATTATTGAAAATTATGCAGTTATATACTACCTCCGTCCCACTATGTTTGGGACAAAGGAGTGTGGCACAAATTTTAAGAAAAAGTGGAATTGTGTGGTTGGTGTTGAATTGATAAAGTGTGAATAAAGTAAGAATGAATTGTAACCACCCAAATATTGCCAAATATAGTATGAGACAAACTTAATGGGACGGACGAAAAAGGTAAAACGGGACAAAGTTAGGAGGACGGAGGGAGTATATATATATAGAGAGAGAGAGAGAGAAAACTTCATGTCCAGCCTGACGGGAACCGCCGTCCGGCCGAGGACATTTCGGGCACTTTCCGATCAAATTTTTTAATGAAATTTTTTGAGCATGTTCTTCATCAAGTCTTGTTTATCCATACCAAATTTCATCTCAAAATTCGATCGGGAAGGCATTCAAATCATTTTTTGAAGTTGACTGCGTTTTTATATGTATATTTTGACGTAGTCAACTTCAAAAAATTATTTGAGATGAGCCAGTATGATGATAAGCAAAGTTCTTATCTGCGTATAAGGGTTTGTCTAGATGTCCGTAAGCCTTTGAAAAAAGGTAGTACCTTGACAAAAGATGGGGTGAAACATTGGGTGAATTTTAAATATGAAAAGCTTCCCACCTTTTGTTTTTTGTGTGGCATAATTGGACATTCTGATAAATTCTGTCCTTAGACGTATGAAGAAGGCTTTGTAGCTCAAAAAACTTATGGGGCGGGGCTTAGAGCAGGAGGAAGAGTGAAGACCAACCCTACAGGGCCTAACAAATGGTTATCAAAAAAAAATGTGGGTATGGAATTCAGCGGAAGTCTGATCTCGGGGGAGACTCTTCGGCGGAATCCAAGACTATTGTGCCACCATAGCAAGTGACAGAAGACAAAGGAAGGAAACCCTGGTGATACGAAGCACAGAAGAATCTGGGATGATCAGTTCAGGCCAGGGAGGGTACAGTGGGGAAGGAATGGCTCTAGATGAGTCAAAAAAATGGGCAGGCGGTGGGTCAATCCTCTTAGACTCGCCGAGTTATCATTTGGTGGTGATGTTGAAGAAGACAAGTGATGATTTTATTTTTATTGTTTGTTTTTATTGCCTTTACTATGGTTGCTTTGGTATGTTTTTCTTTGGTATTTTTATTTCTTGTAAGATTCTTGCATTAGGTTTGGGGATATAGTTCTGCAGTAACCGTCATTGGCGTTAAGTTGCCCAATTTAGGGCGGATGGTTACATGTGGTTCTTTTCTGTCAGTGTACTCTTGCTGAATGCTAGCTATTTCTATGAATTAAGCCCTCTTCGAGCAAAAAAAAAACGTACTAGTATGATTAATAAATAAATAAAGTAAAATAATTTAGATAGTAGATTTATTCCGTTTCGGGTTTAATTTTTGACCCACGCATCATAGTAAGGCCGAGAAGGACAAAGGTAAGACACCTTGAAAAGATTCGACTTTTTAAAATAAAATAAGATAACGGTGATTCTAAATTGTTTTATGTTTTAATGATGTTAAGATATACTCCGTACTAGTAATAAATAATTGATGGATCTAGAATATTACATACATACAGTTTGGCTACAACATATATAATTGATGTTTGACATATATTACTAGAATTTTTTTTTTGATGTTTAACATATATATAATACTACCTCCGTTCTTAAATAAGTGCAACAGTCAGCTTTGCACAACTTTGACCATTAATATATATAACTCTCTATTAGTAAAAATATTAAAAAAATCAGATTTTGAAAATTTACAATGAGACAAATTTAGTAATATTTTTTTCAAATATATATATATTAATACATCAATAAATAAAATGTAGTCAAAATAGAACATGTGGCAATTGGAAGGGAGTGGGAATGGAAGAAGTTGGGAAGAAAGAGATGGGATGTGAGAATAGCAGCAGCATATATTATATTATATACCAACGTACCAGGCAGGAGTTTGCGTTTGTCGGCATAGTCGTGATACTTTTGAGGCTGAGGAATTGTTGGAGTGAGCATCATAAGCAGTGCGAAGCACAGAATTGCAACCCCCACTGCTGCCGCTCCCGTCTGCCTTCTGCTTATCATCATTTTCGATCTTACTATTTGATTTGGAGATGATCGATTTTCTGCAGCCTTTAGTTCTTAATTTACTCGGCCGGGGAGCTTTCATATGTATACTATCTATATGCATAAGAAAGGAAAGAAATATGACTGACTTAGCTGCTGTCTATTATTAGAGCACCGAGACACGTGCTCCTTTGCAAATGCAATCACCATTTTGACCTGCCTTCCAGAAGCGGTGGAGAACATGCTAGTGTTATATTCTAATACAACCAAATTTACAACGTACTATATTGTTATTAACAAGTGTTTGGATCTGCTTGTAAATTTTGAAACCCCACAAGTACCATGTGTTTCAAATTGCTCCTACAAGTAAATTTTAAAAGCTGGCTTTAAAAAAAGCACAAGCACAATTCCAATTTTCACACACTTTAAGCCGATTGCACTTACCAAACACGGCTGGACCTTCCCCGCTTTTTACTAAATACAGGCCCTTATTCAATTAAATGGCTATTATCCCTATACTAAATACAGCCCCTGATGTTTGTACGTGATGGCCGACCTTCAAGAACGACACCCGGGAACAGCCCCATGGAACAGATGTTACTTAAACAAGAAAGCTTTTGGCCTACCGCTGTGAATGCGAGGATGGAAGTGGGGTGATGATGATTAGTAAGAAAGGTGCGGCTATGATTACTGCTTGGAATCCCATAATTGTTTGTTGTAATCCCTTTTTTTAATAAAAAAAAATCCTCTATTAATTGTTTGGTGTGGCAAAATAGAAGTTTGCAAACCCTCTATTTCATTTTTCATACTCTAATGATGTGATATTTACTGTTGAATTAACCAAGAAATTGTGACAGGGAAGGTTGATGTTGTTTGTTAGACTCGTGATCTCATCATCTATGCTGAAAGCGGCTCTGCTTCGGATACTCGCGAGAGCAAACGAGAAGAAAATTGAAGCTAAGCCTCTTGCATAGGCTTGTGCACAACTAACTCAAGAGAGTTCTTACGAGAAAACACATCACGTCTTCTTATTAATTGTATTCCTAAATTGAATTAGAGATCAGTCAAGATGTCCACTCAAATCTCAACCACAACGTTTACCTTTTTAACCACTTTATTAAAAATTATGCCAAAAGCAAAGAAGACACATAAAATGGGACGGAGGTAGTAATAATAATAATAATGGTGGTGGTGGTGGCGGTGGCGGCGGCGGGGACGGGGGCGGCGGCGGCGGCGAGGAGGATGATGATGGTGGTGATGATGATAATAATAATGATAATAGCAGCAGCAACAACAACAACAACAACAACAACAACAACAATAATAATAATAATATTTATAATTATAATTATAATAATTATTATTATTATAATAATAATAACAATAATAATAACAATAATAATAATAATAATAATAATAACAATAACAATAACAATAACAATAACAATAACAATAACAATAACAATAACAATAACAATAACAATAACAATAACAATAACAATAACAATAACAATAACAATAACAATAACAATAACAATAACAATAACAATAACAATAACAATAACAATAACAATAACAATAACAATAACAATAACAATAACAATAACAATAACAATAACAATAACAATAACAATAACAATAACAATAACAATAACAATAACAATAACAATAACAATAACAATAACAATAACAATAACAATAACAATAACAATAACAATAACAATAACAATAACAATAACAATAACAATAACAATAACAATAACAATAACAATAACAATAACAATAACAATAACAATAACAATAACAATAACAATAACAATAACAATAACAATAACAATAACAATAACAATAACAATAACAATAACAATAACAATAACAATAACAATAACAATAACAATAACAATAACAATAACAATAACAATAACAATAACAATAACAATAACAATAACAATAACAATAACAATAACAATAACAATAATAATAATAATAATAATAATAATAATAATAATAATAAGGGGTTATGTCTAAAATAATACTAAAAAAAGAGCTATTGACAAAAAAGAGATCTTTTTTTCTATTTTCCAAAAATGAGACTAAAAATGAGTTAGGAGACTATTATACCCTTATTTTATAACTAATCTAACTCTGTGTGGGGCAGAAGGATAAAATGCAGTCAAAGGAAACCATGAAAGAGGTAAAAAGGAAGCGAAAGTCACAACCTATTAAACCAAGAGTCCGTAGATCCCAAATTATAAGGTGATTATCTGTCCCGCCAGTCACCAATTTACAATTCCTTTTCAATAATGCATTTACTAAGGCTTGAGCGTTCTTCTTCACTAGTTGCATGTAAAGGTTGTATTCGGGAGTTGCTACTTGTTTTAATGCTACGGCAAGGGCAGCAATGTGGTTGTTGTGTGGCCCACCTTGCAATGCAGGGAAAACCGCAAAGTTTATCTTCTCCTCAAAATCATACTTCTCACAAACATCACTTTGATTCAGAACCATGCCTTTCTTCCTTGGTTTTGTCCCCTTCCTATAAAAGATAATGCCTCCTCTTGGACCTCGAAGACTCTTGTGGGTTGTGGCAGTAACTATATCACAATAATCGAAAGGGCTATCACAAACCTGCATAAGTACATTGTTCAGCCATCATTATTATAAAAAAAATCTTGTGCTAAAGGCTCGTTTGGTATGCAGAAAAGAATAAAGGAAGAAATTACTTGAAATACTCTCATTTTATGGGCATAAACTACTCACCGCCTGTTTAATATGATTGGAAGAACTGCAGAAGGATGAAATTCAAGAAAATATATGCATAAATTTCATAAAAGGATAAAAGAACGAGGAATTTTGATAATTTGATCAATAAGCACAGATGACTATGAACGGAGGCAGGAGATCATGATAATTAATGATTAAAAACAGGATTAGAAGGTATATGGAGACATGACAACCCACCTTTGCAGCAACCAGACCACTGATTTGAGCCATATCACACAGCAAAACTGCTCCACACTTATCAGCAACCTGTCTAAACCTTGCATAATCCCACTCCCGGGGATAAGAACTTCCCCCACATATAAGTATCTTAGGACGGAAATCAAGAGCCCTCTCCTCAAGCTTATTATAATCCACATATCCAGTTTGAGGATTGACCTTATAAGGAAAACTCTCAAAGAAAATTGAAGCCCCTGACACTTTCCTCCCATTCGGGAGATAGTACCCATGACTTGTGTTCCCGCCAGAAGGTGTATCCAAACCTATTATACGATCACCAGGCAATAACAAACCTGTATATACAGCAAAATTTGCAGATGTACATGAATACGGTTGAACATTCACACCCCAAATCTCAGAATTAAGTCCAAAAGCAACCAAAGCACGCTCACAACAAAGTGTCTCAATCTCATCAATGAACTGATTCCCGCCATAATACCTTGCTCCGGGCATTCCTTCTGAGTATTTATTCGTCAAATGGCTTCCTAATGCTTCCATTACTGCCTTACAAACGAAATTCTCTGAAGCAATTAGTTCAATCCCTTTGTATTGCCTCTCCTTTTCATTCTCCATTATCTGAAATAAATCAGGGTCTGCTGATTGAAGGCTTTGATTCCCCCAAGCAATGACGGAATTTCTGCGTGTTTCATGACTTTGTTGTTGTTTGCTAGAGATCGGGACCGTAAGACCACCTCTAGATGAAAAAGAATTTGATGAGGTTGAATCAGTATCTCTCTTCCGTTTCAAACTCATAGAATGTCCCAAAATCCGAATCTCACCGTCATCCATACTTCCTCCGGCGTCATTCTCCTTAACTTCCTTCGTTTGTTGCTCCATCAATTGAAGCGGCACAGACGGGAGCGGATTGGAATGGTCGCCGAAGCTTGAATCAATCTGGAAAGAGATTGAACCATCAGCCGATTGGGACCGGTTGGGCGGAGCAGGAGTCGACGAGTGGGATGAAAACCCTAACGACAGTTTACTTGACTGTGATTGAGGTAAATCCATATGAATCAAATCAATAACACCAAGGCAGAAAACTCACTCGATTGTATTCAACATTCAACCGTCAAGCTCCAATATTTTTCAACAGTAATAGCAGCTGCAACAACAGTAGACTTTGGCGGAGCAGCATTGGCTCCTGAATCTCATCGCAAAACAGTAAGATATCATGGGAACAATGACGATGACGATTCAAGTTCAATTTTTAGTTACTGAGTATTTTCTAAGGTGGCAACTATGGTACCTCTCAAAATCTTGAAGGTACGGTACCATATACAAATGGCCTAATTATATTATGACATGTGTCTTCAATTTACACGTAGTATAAGGTTTTATTTCTATTTACATTTACCCTAATTTGCCGGTAGGTCCCCAAATATCTCATAATTTATTGAATTGATTTAACGCCATCCTGTAGTTAGATTCCTCCTTAGCCTTTCCGTCCAGGTAAACTGTGATTATGCCATCGGTAAAGAAGAGCAAGTTATCATGCCTTTCAAACGTTGAGAGATGCCAAAGTAAGCTAGCATGTACTTCGAATGATGAGTAAAACTCGAAGACTTCATACCGTCATGGATATCGACAACTTTCCCAGCGTCCAGATCTCGAATTCCAGCATCTTTTCCAAGGAGAAAAGGTCCTCGCTTTAGTCGCTTACCATGACCCTCGCATCTACAAAGCTAAGAAAAGCCTCTCTTTCTTCATCACGATCCCATAAATTATCAACATACATAGATGATAATTTAACTTTAATTCTCTGCTGCAAAAAAAATTGAATGTTTGTGTGCGGATAATATTTTAATGTTTTTCATGAAAAGTGCTTTAATTTTTTTGAATTTCACTCTTATTCTTGGTAAGTATGTAGTTCCGTTTGTTTAGGGTGTAATTGAAATCCTAAAGGTTTTCATTCATAATATGAAATTCTATAGTTGCTCATTCATGATGTGAAATCCTAAAGCTGATTATTCATACTATGAATAGAGCATCATAGAAATGCACAAATATTGTAATGGAAACATTTTTCAGCCTCTCAGTCTGAAACTTGTGTTGAAACTGATGGGAGATTGTCTCGTTTGAGATTGTGAGTGTCACAGTGACATGGAGAAGTAAT